ATATATATATATATATATATATATATATAACAGAGGACAAAAAAGTGGTCGTCTGTCATTTCAACCCAGGTGAGGTAAAAGTATTTGTTTGATTATTAATTATATTGCTCTGTATATATAAAAAAAACATCAAGCTCTTTTTGTGGATCAGCTCTAATAATTTCATAATACTTTGATCCACTTACTCGGATCCAACGAATTTATATATATATATATATATATATATATATATATATATATATATATATATATATTATTATTATGTTGTGTGTGTAATTAAACATAATATTTAGTGAATACTCGTATTTGTGTAGTAGACACTCCGTTGGTTTATTAAACAGCATAGATGTGTGCTCGCTCTTTTATTCATCTATCTAATAAGATTTCCCGAATATGCAAGCCGTTAAACGAAAAATAAAACATTTAATAAATAAACGCAAATACGTGTATCCACTAAAAATAACGTTTAAATTTTTAAAAATCTATCAGATTAATAAATAAAAAATCTATCACTACTTTTCACATATATATATATATATATATATATATATATATATATATATATATATATATATATATATATATATATATATATTTAAGAAAAGAGCAGATATTTTATATATAGTGCTCAATATTAAAAAAATATTAACATAATGTTAAAAATAGACCGTTTTTGATATTATATGAAAAGATTACTTAACTTTTAAATATCAATTTTATGAAGTTTCTTGGTAAAATTTCAGTCTTCGAAGTCGGGATAAAATTGATATTTAAAAGTTAAGTAATCTTTTCATATAATATCATATATATGTATGTATATATAAATCATTTTATTGCTTATGAATATACACATATTTGTTTACATTTCTTCTTTTAAATAAATATAGTTAAAGAATTTTTTATACAATTTTCCTCGTGAATATCATTTTGACGCAGTCTGACTTCCCTCTCTCCCCACACACACACACATATATCTATATATATCTATATATATCTATATATATATATATATATATATATATATATATATATATATATATATATATATATATATATATATATATATATATATATACAAACATGCATACATATATATATATATACAAAAAGAAATAATCACACATAGAATCAACCAGCAATATTATATTATATTGCTGATTGATTCTATGATGATTCTTTGTATATAAATTATATACTGCCTAATATTATATATATATATATATATATATATATATCTATATATATATATATATATATATATATATATATATATATATATATATATATATATATATATCCGCGTAAACACACACCGACTAAACATGTCCGTTCGTGCGTGTGAATGATTTAAGTTTATCATTAATGTCAAGCAGTTTAAGGTTTTAGAACGTTTGTAATTTCGGGATATTCTGAAACCCTGACAGAATGTTCGATTCTAAAATCTATTTAAACATTTATCATTTTTCTATGAACGGAAATGAAAAACCTGTAAACTTTGCAGTATTACTTCTAATAATAATAATAATAATAATAATAATAATATTAATAATTTGAAATTGCCGAGTTTTTGCATCGTTCATATAATGTGCGGTGACACTAGCTTTCTTTGTCCATTTTTGACATATGTTTGTTTCGCTGATATCAGTATTTCGTTTTAAATTTTGGAATGCTATGGCATTATTTTGAAAAACATTATTAAGTGAATAAAAAGTAGATTTTTATAACGCCATCAGAGCATTTTTACTTTCTCATTTTTTTGTATTTTTATTTAATTTAAATTTATTTTGAAAATATGCCGATAACTGACATTTCTTCAAAATTTCCTGTTCCAAAATCTCTTTTTTTTTTTCAATTAATTTTTTATAGAAATACATCGACGTTGGGAAAGACATTTAAATGAGTTCAATGCAAAATCATTTGGATGATAAACAAAGAAAATATATTAACAAGAACAAAACGTAAGTAAGAAATCGAATATCAAAAAAAGTTGTTAAAACCATCAAACGGATCAAATTCTTAAAATAAAAGCAAAACAAAACAAACAGTGAAATAAATATGAAAAGATCAAAATATCTGACTCTCCATTTTGAAATGTTTCTGGATTTTTTAAGCATTTAAGCGGGAATAAAGTCGAGAAAATATCATCGATATCATTTAAGACAAAAGTTCAACATTTAAGTTAATTTTACTTATTTTTCTTATATTAGTAATAATGATATAAGGAAGTACTTTATATAATTAACGTAAGAAAGTACTTTTAATAATTAACTGATTTTGAAAAAGTAACTAATATATATATATATATATATATATATATATATATATATATATATATATATATATAACACGGCGAGACTACCATTGATACTTTTTAAATTGGCCTCAAAATTAGTTGCTTTGTACTTTAAATAAGAGAAAATTATGATAAATGGTTAAAAAAGGTGAGACAATTTTTATTAGAAATTTTATAATGACAAAAAGAAAAAAGGCATTTTATGATTAAATTTTGATGGCCTTCATTACTGCAGCACACATTTTTGGCATTCATGGCAAAAGTTTCTCAAAAGTAGAAATCTGATTATTGATTCCATGATCTTTTTCATTTTTTTTATTACTCTTCTGCAAATTCATCGATGCTAATTCTGGTGGTCAGTTCAAACTTTTGAATATATATATATATATATATATATATATATATATATATATATATATATATATATATCATCATCATCATCACGGAAGACTGTTTGGTGTATCAGAGCTCATCAGTGTGGCTAGACACACACACACACACACTCACCTCACACACACACATATATATATGTATGTATATATATATATATATATATATATATATAAATAGATAGATATAAACAGACATATATATATATATATATATATATATGTGTGTGTGTGTGTGTGTGTGTGTGTGAGAGAGAGAGAGAGAGAGAGAGAGTGTGTACGAGAAAGAGATGAAGTTATATATTTTTATATATCAAGAAAGAAATTTGGGGAAAATGTCTGACAAAGCTGGAAAAATTTTTCGTGCGATGTGTTTCGTTATTTAGAACTTCATCGGACTAAATTTGTTATGTTGGTGCGACTACACATGCGCACGAATGAGGATGCTGGGAAGTTTAAATATATATATATATATATATATATATATATATATATATATATATATATATATAAGTAGGAAGCTAGAAAAGAGAGAGTAAACACTTCGTTTATTTATTAAAGAATATATTTATTTAAACAAATATAATGCTTAATATTTTAATTATTTAAATAAATATAATGTTTAATTACTAAACAGCATATTTATTTAAATAAACATACTGTTTATTAAGCGGAGCTTCTGCTGATATATGAGTATCTATTAAAAATAAAGTTAAATACATATATATATATATATATATATATATATATATATATATATAGAGAGAGAGAGAGAGAGAGATAGAGATAGACAGATAGATAGATAGATACGAACAGACATATGTAGGTAGATAGATAGAGGCAAAGAATGAGACAAATGGAGAAAAATATATAGAAAGATAGATATGAACAGTATATACATACACACATATACATATATAATATAAGATTTTTTCCAATTGTCATTTGATATAATCTGTCTTGTCCACAGAATTCATCTAGAATTTAACTATATATATATATACATAAATATATACAAACACACACATACACACACACACACACACACACACATATATATATATATATATATATATATATATATATATATATAAAGAGATACAGAAAGATCAATAAATAGATCGAAATATAGATAGATATTAACAAACTGATATGTATAATTGTATCGATAAAAATAATGTATAAATGGAAAATACATCATGATAATTGTCGGACTTAGTCCCTTTCATAATATATCTATCTATCTATCTATCTATCTATCTATATATATATATATATAAATATATATATATATATATATATATATATATATACACACATACACAAGGAGTGAGTGAGAGAGATGTGAACAGACTTCGATCAACATACAGCGTATGTTTTTTGTACTTTCACCTGAAACTATGACACTTATAGTAATACATATATATATATTTATAGTAGAAATGCTATATTTAGTAGATATACATATTCGAATAAATTTTCACATTAAAAACAAAATATATGAAATTATTATAGACCGTTATCACTTGGCAAGGATCGAATTTAAGTGCGTCTGTTCGCTTTTTTTTTACGTCTACGAGTTAAATATATTTATTTCTTATTTAAGATACATGTTTCTATTGTTTTATGCCTTCAATATTCATGAAATTAATTTGAAGATTTTGTTCACTACCACTAAACTTTCGAGTTGTAGCTCGTGTGTAGTCAAGTGTATAAATTCTGTCCTAATTTAAAAAAAAAAAAAATCACCACCGCTCATCCGGCAATATTCTTATTTGTTACAGTCCGCTTATCATTTTTCCAATAATTTCCTCCGCGGATGTAATTTGTTTCTAATTATAAAAAGGGAGAGGAAAAAAAAAAAAAAATTCTCAGCGGAACGTTTATTTGAATCGGTGCGCTTATTTTATGAATTGAAAAGTTGCGACCGGCACGTCTATTCCAGACGTCGCTTCTACCGAATCATATATTTTTAACTTCGATTTCAACTGGGCACACCATATTTGCGGCCTTGTGACAAGACTAAACTAAGCTTAGTAAATAATTATGTCTTCGTTACACTTGCACACACGGTGTGCCTAATAGGCAACATTGGAAAGAAGTTTACATTTATATCTAAAATTTAAATATATATATAAAGTTACTGTGATACTGGATCGGCATATGCAAAAATAAATGCTAAATTCAATTGCATGTTCATAACTGACTTACTTATATTTGTGTATGTCAATCCATATAGGTAAGCTTAACTCCCCCTCACACACTCACATACACATACACATATATATGTGTGTGTTTGAGTGTGTGTGTGTGTGTGCATGAATGTATGCATATCTATCTATCTATCTATCTATCTATCTATCTATCTATCTATCAATATATGTATCTATCTATCTCACTCTGATACTGTGCATAATCTATCTATCTATCTATCTATCTATCTATATATATATATATATATATATATATATATATATATATATATATATATATATATATATATATGGTGTAGTGTATTGGGGTAGTAGATCGTTATTCAAACATATATTGTTGAATATAACAATGAATCTCTATTATGTTTGATCATGAGCCGTTCTAAGCTTTACTTAAGGAGAAAATATTGGCAAAAACTGTCCAACATTCGGATATTTGTTTATAATGCTTTTCCTTGATCAAACCTTTCGGCTCACATGAGCCATCATCAGAGTGGTTATAATAATGGCTCATGTGAGCCGACAGCTTAGATCGAGGAACAACATTATAAAAAATATCCAAATGTTGGACAGTTTTTGTATTTATTTTCTCTAAAAACCACTTTCCGAAGCTTAGAACGACTTATGATCAAACATAACAGACACTCATTGTCTGTTATATTTACCAATACATGTTTGAATATATATATATATATATATATATATATATATATATATATATATATATAAAAAAATTGAAAACCGCCAACTATATGGTTTGAAACAATAATTCTTCTGTTAGAACAAAATTAAACAGAACAAATATTATTTACGCACTTAAATATCCATTAAGGAACTGTATTCCTGATCAATCAAAATTCGTAAATAATTATATAGGCCACACTACAACATGTTTGACACGAAGACCCACACTACATCTTTCTGACCATAGCTCAATTCTCATTTAAATACTCATGGGGACCTACCTGACCCTATTCGCAACATGTTTGTTGACAACGCAAATATGATCGCATCGTCTAAATGTAAAAAAAGGCTAAAAGTAATGGAAGCCTTATTAATAAAAACAAAAAAAAACAACACTTAATAATATCATCTATGAACAGAGACACAATATCTTGACCATTTTTTGAAAATGAAAACATTATATAAATGCATGCAATCTATTTCTTGTTAACAGTTAATATATTTCAACCTTGAAAATGGCTAAATGTATAGCCGAAAGCGCTCGGAAAGAAAGAATATTTGGATAATTATATAAATTATCTACCGAAAAGAAAAATTATAAGATCACATGAGAAATTGTATAAAAAAACTAAATAAAACACCTTGTCTGTCGTATTCAATGAAACATGCATGAAAGAAGGATTGCTGCCTAAATGCACGCACGCACGCACACACACACACACACACACACATATATATATATATATGTCTGCAAAACTGTAAAGTCAGTCGAAAAATAAGTCGATTGAAAATTTATTCATTTATTGGCTATTGCCGTTCTAATTCACTCGTGAGTCCTTGAATTTGACAAAAGTCTGCTCAACTTGAAATACATGAAATTCTTGAATTTTTTTATGTATATTGATATATGTCATTGATTTGTATATATATATATATATATATATATATATATATATATATATATATATATATATATATATAATATATTTTTCAGTAGATATTATTATTTTGTACTTCTACATATAGGTCTGCAAAAATAGGTACACAGTAAGTATGATTATTGATTTGTATAATCAATACAATACGTTTTGTGCGTACGTTGTTAATGTATAACTACTTTTCCATGCCGCTGTATATTAACAAAATGTATGAAAATATTAATGTTCACATTAAGTTTTTCACAGCGAGAAATCAAACAGGCAACGGATTTTTTCTAATAATTCCATCTCCAGGCGGATTCTACCGACGTCGGAAAACAAATGTTGAATAGTTTCCACCATCACTCTGTTTATTTCTGGCATCCGCTGATGAAGAACACAGGTGTGTTCAAAAATTCCAAACTTGAAACCTCAATCTCTCTGCTTCATTTTTGTCACCTGGTTAATATTAATAATTTTTTTTTTTTTTTTGTACTGATTTCATCAGTACTCTTTAGTTTGACTTTGTTTTATTGACCAACTTATCTACTCTACTTTGAATACATATATATATATATATATATATATATATATATATATATATATATATATATATATGTATGTATGTATGTATTTAGGCAACAAATTCTCTTTTTAGGCATGAATAAATGAATAAATTATAAACATTATGCCTGCTTATTTTTATTATAATCCTTTCATATTCTCGAATAACTTTCCGTATATATATATATATATATATATATATATATATATATATGTGTGTGTGTGTGTGTGTGTGTGTGTGTGTGTGTGTGTGTGTGTGTGTGCTGGCCTTGTTCAAATTGTTGATCACGCTAGATAACACGCTCTCTCCCAGAAACTGTAACTAAGGTCTGCTCAGCATAGTTGCAGTATAAAGTGCAGGAGGACTCTGTGGGTGTTGAATAAACACAAATGCGCCTGAGCAAGCGTTTGCAACAGGGATTGAGTAGCCGCCCTAGTAGACAGGGATCACCCAATACGAGTGGCTAAATGTGCACACAGACACACACACACACACACACACACACACACACACACACACACACACACACACATATATGTATATATATATGTATATATATATAATTTTTGTTTTCAGAGATCATATATATATATTAATTATATATATATATATATATATATATATATAAATTAATTATATATATAATTTCATATATATATTATCTCTCTCTCTCTCTCTCTCTATATATATATATATATATATATATATATATATATATATATATATATATATATATATATATATATATATATATATATATATAAAAAATAAATGTTTAAAATATCGAACATCTAATATCTTTGTGTTTGGGCAGAAATATACATCATGGAAAACTTAATAACCTTGTCACCTAACATTGGTCTAGTATTAAAATAATTACCGTATTTGCCGGCCTATTGGACGCGGATTCTTTTCCCAAAAATATGCACCACAAAATTAGCCTGCGTCCAATACAGCAGTATTATAGATGTGAGTGACATGGAGACCAAGAAAAACGTGGGGTTCACCAGGAATCAGTGTACTCATAGAACTTCACTCTGAAAACTAGGACTCCTGCACGTGAAAAAACATTACATCAATGAAAAGTACCCCTGAAAAATTCACCCAGGGAAAAGAAATTAAGAAATTTATGGATTTGTATAATATTCTGCTAATTGTTTTTGTAGAAATACCAGATTTTACAGAGATATTTGCTTTGACTGGTATATTGTCGCTTGCTATGTGCGTGTTTTTGTTGATCTACAGGTACTGGAATTTGCTTTTCTGCATGTATAGTATTAAACTTCATTTACCAACATGTATTTTTTATTTTTGTTTGCCTATTACCATATGTACCAGTGTTCACTGATACTTGTAGAGGTCTTTGTAGCCATTATGAATTTACTGTATCAGCAGATGTTGCTCCTTGAAAAAATTACTAAGACGATTTTCAATAAATGCATGATGAAATGTACTAGAAGTCTTCTTTTTTAAAAAAAATGTCCGGTTAATTAAACATTAGCCCATTTTTATTAAAAAATAAAATGTACCAGTAATATAAATTGTGCGAATATTGTAAGTGTTTCTTTATGGTTAGTGGGAATGATGCATAAATAGGTATATGGTTATAATATTGATTCTTGGTTGAGATGTTATGCATTTATCTCTCTAAATATTCCATACCAAAATCTGGGTGCGTACAATACGTGGATGCAACCAATATGCAGGCAAATATGGTATTTCTCATTTTCTCTATCTATCCCAATTTGTTCATATCTATCTATCTATCTATCTATCTATCTATCTATCTATCTATCTATCTATCTATACTAATTTGTTCATATCTATCTATCTATCTATATATCTATCTATCTATCTATTCCAATTTGTTTATATCTATCTATCTATCTATTCATTCCAGTTTGTTTATATCTATCTATCTATCTATCTATTCATTCCAATTTGTTTATATCTATCTATCTATCTATTCATTCCAATTTGTTCATATCTATTTGTCTATCTCTCTATCTCTCTTTCTATCTATCTATATATCTATTCCAATTTGTTCATATCTATCTATCTATCTATCTATCTATCTATCTATCTATCTATCTATCTATACTAATTTGTTCATATCTATCTATCTATCTATCTATACTAATTTGTTCATATCTATCTATCTATCTATCTATCTATTCCAATTTGTTTATATCTATCTATCTATCTATCTATCTATCTATCTATCTATCTATCTATTCATTCCAATTTGTTTATATCTATCTATCTATCTATTCATTCCAATTTGTTTATATCTATCTATCTATCTATCTATCTATCTATCTATCTATCTATCTATTCATTCCAATTTGTTCATATCTATTTGTCTATCTCTCTATCTCTCTTTCTATCTATCTATATATCTATTCCAATTTGTTCATATCTATCTATCTATCTATCTATCTATCTATCTATCTCAATTTTTCCCATTAGAGATATTTCGAAACTTCAGAAAAAGCCCTTCTATGGAAACAATTTTGTTTAGGAATTCTCGTTTCCCTCCAATACCAATCAATCCAAATTAACTTCAGTTTCTTACATTAGTCGTTCATGCACCACAGACCCCGAGTAGGTTAACTTATTACTTGCCGAAACTTAATATTTTTCGTGCACATGTCAATCATTGCACCACCAACAAGCAAAATACAACGATTAATATAAGTCCCTAAATATTAGTAGGTAATATCAAAATACTATCCAGCACAAATTGTTGAGAAACAGTCAAAATACTAAACTAGAAGGTATTACTAGAGAAGATAAAAACGATCCGTATTAAATTAAATAACTTTCAACACAAGCGAATGCATTTTGAAGTCTCTATAAAATATGTCTAAAAAAAATTTACAAAATTCTATAAAAAAATTAAAATATCACTAAAATATTTACATATTTATTTCCGTTATTGTCAAGTGATGTGAAACACATGACATTACATAATATATATGTATATATATATATGTGTATGTGTGTGTGCGCGCATGCGTATATTGATGTAATAAGAAAGAAGACTTAGATTAATGATCCAAAGTTCTTTAGTATTTATGTTTTATTTTTAAAAAACAATGCTCGATACAGATGTAGACCTTAAAATTATAATTATTTTAAAAAAAAATTATATATATATATTTATGTATATATATATATATATGTGTGTGTGTGTATGTGTGTGAGTGTGAGTGTGTATACATATATTTACACACACATACACGCATATACATATATATATATATGTGTGTGTGTGTGAGTGTGTATACATATATTTACACACATACATATATATATATATATATATATATATATATATATATATATATATATATATATATATATATATGTGTGTGTGTATATATATATTTTTCCGTGTGTGTGTGTACATTTTTTCAAATCTATGTATATAAACATAAACATGTGTGTGTGTGTTTGCTTATTTCATTTTGGGTTTTATAAATAGTTTCCCTTTTGTCATTATTTTTGCAAGAATGTTCTGAAGTATAAAAATCTATATATCATCTTCCCCAATATACATAATGCATATTGAAAATCCTTTGTGTTATTTCATTAAAAGGTGAAAATTGACCAAGCACTCAGTCCTTTTTACACGCCTAATATTTTCAGAAACATTCGCCCATATATTGGTCAAATTTAAAGAAAATGCTTGAGATCGTGAATTTTTCTATAACCTTAGTGTACCTCTATATATTACTTAAATATTATTTTATTGTTACGCGTGTTTGATTAGACGTCTGTTTTTCCGTTACAAGCTCTGAAATTAACGTCTTCGGACCTAGAAAATCCACTGAAATAACTTTTATAGTAAGACGAAATATAGTAGGATTGAAAATATATATTATGTGTATAAATGCTATGATATATATATATATATATATATATATATATATATATATATATATATATATATATATATATAAGAAATTGGACAAAGTCCGACAATTTATTAAAGACATTTTTTTATGTTTAACATTCTTTTATAGATACAAGTATTTAAGTAAATGCTCTGTTTATAATAAAGTCGAATAAGTTTATAAATAAGGTCGAAGTTTATAAGCAGTAAATTCGACCTTGCCTGCCGAACGCTCCTTTGTGGCCGAGTCGGTTAAGGCACGTCAGGATGCAAGTTCGAATCCTGTCAAAGGACAAATATCTTCTATGAAATTTTCTCGGACATTCAGGCCGGTAAATGTTATTTAATACTGTTTATTATAAACAGAGCATTTATTTTATTTAATAACGATTGCCACATACCCAAACAAGAAAGAACTGCTAAATGAAAGAACGGAGGTGTTTATCTTAGTGCAGGCACCTTAACAAATATTTGTTGTGTATGTACGAACCAGGATGAAAATATTTTGTTGTGCATTTTATTTTGTTTCTTTGTTTTTGTTGTTGTTGTTGTTTTTTCTCGCTTTTTCCCTCCTACTTCCCCACCCACCCCCACTAATTTCCAATGTTCGTATATAATGGTGGTGGAGTCAACTAAAATCTTTCATCCTACCTGCCTGAGGATACCTAACGGTTGAAACCTGGGTAGCATAGTAACTTGAATTTCGTTGTTCCTGATTACATTTTGCTCTACAAATCAAATTTTTGGTATCTTGTATTGAGCGTTTTTTTGCTTCCACCTTAAATGCGGCTGTTTACAGCCTCCTTTTATAATATACTTATTTTATATTGTATTTTAAATTTATATATATATATCTTACTTATTATAAAACGCAGATTGTGTGTCTGTGTGTCTGTACATTTATATATTGGATCGGATTTCCTACATTTTTCAACCGATTTCAACAAAACTTCACAGGACTACGTAAAATTACCTTGCAGTGGTTCTGACAGCGCCAAAAAAAACACAATTATTTTTGCACGGAATCAATTTGAAAACACGATTAAGAGGCATCGCGAAAATGAAAGGGGGACAACTCATATCGGGTTATACTTATTATAAAACCCAGGTTGTGTGTGTGTTCGTTTATATATGGGATCGGATTTCCTACATTTTTCAACCGATTTCAACAAAACTTCACTTTTTTTTGGCAGGTAGTGTTTCTTATTGTCTTGCACACTTTTTCTTTATTTTTACATTCAGAATGCTTTAAAAATTCCATTTACAAGACAATTGTTTATAATAAAATTCTATTCAATCGATAGACTCATAACGATTGAAAACAATTTTTTTGTTTGAGTTTGGGTTTGACCAATTCGTAAAAAAAAAAAAAACCCAAACAAAAACAAAAATAAACTAATTAAGACATGCGTGCCCGTCAACCTTAAACAATAATCTTTGTCAATTTTTTTTTTCAATCTTTATGATGGTCGATACTTGATCTATCTCTTACTGTTACATCCCTGGGCAACGCCGGGCTCTTCTGCTAGTATATATATAAAATTAGAATTTGCTGATGTAATAAAAATTAGGCCATGTCACCTGACAACCATAATTGTAATTAATGAGATATGGTTAACCCTATCAAATCTCATACGTTCAGGTTAAGACCAACATCATTACACAAAGAATAAATATTTGCTGGACATTTTGTTTAAAGAATTATTATTCCGACAGCCGAATGTGTGTGCATGTTCTTTCTGTGAGAGTTTCTTTTATCTTTTTTTGGATGGTTGGTTGGTTGATTTCGTTTAGCGGCATATCAACACCTTTATGGGTTGTTATGGGTTATTTAAAGCCAAAATCTAAATATTTTAAACACAATTTTATGGCTTCAACTTATATATTGAAGTTATATTTTGGTATACAGTTTGATTTAAGAAATTGTACGATATTATATGGATTAATATGATTCTTTATTCTTTCAAGTTGGTTGTTTGGTTGATTGGCTAGTTGATTTTATTTAGTAGCATATCAACACCCCTATGGGTCATTTAATGCCGAAATCTAAATATTTTCAACATAATTTTATAGCTTTAACTAAATATATTTTGAACGCAATTGTATGCCTTCAAGTATAGATAAAATGTATTCTTAGTCATTTTGCCATAAAATGTATTTTTTAGTAATTCTGCTATAAAATGTATTGCCGGTCATTTTGCTTTCAAAATGTATTGTTGGTAATTTATTATAAATAGGTATTGTTGGTACGATTACTAAAAAACTTTCATAGCGTTTTGACTTTTCTTTGGGGGTTCACTTTTGCCCATAGCTGGGAGCCTAAAAGCTGCTACCACACAGGTGGACCTGGGTCAACAGCAATTAAGAGGTGGTTCCACGCTCCTCAAAACCTCCAATCTTCCACTCAGAGGCCTTGCTGCCGGATGTAGTTTATCGTCTTAACCAGGACTTATCTTATTTTGAACCGGTCTCGGCTTATGAGAATATATATATATATATATATATATATATATATATATATATAACTGGGTAAATAGCAGGACAGACTGGGTTCTATAGCATTGGATGGCAACTGGTCTAGGAGAAGAAAAACTCTAAATTAAAAACCTGCGGAGGGTCGTTTGGGGACCTTGTGGCACGTAGTGCACCAGGTCTCTGTATTCGACCCTTCAAAAAATAATGGATGGTCCTGCACAGAAACCTTCACCACTATAATCGAATCTCATCAAATTAAGACATGCGTGCCCGTCAACCGTTGGGGATCGCTTGTGAATTCAAATTCCATGAAACTCAATATTGGAGCCGGCTCAACCCACCCCGGGTGAATGTCGTTACAGGCAGGTAGTATATATATATATATATATATATATATATATATATGTATGTATCTGTGTGTGTATATATGTATATATATGTGTGTGTGTGTGATATATATATATATATATATATATGTGTATATATACATATATATATATATATATATATATATTCTGAAAGAAAGATCGAGGTCGATCTGAAATATCAAAACTACATATATAAAAATATAAATAGATACTTTCATAAAAACATTATTATTATTTTAAATTTGCAACTTTTTAGTTGTTTTTAAACACACACACACACACACACACACACACACACATATATATATATATATATATATATATATATATATATTTTCCCACCAACGTGACGTGGCTTCCATTTGTTTTTTCTCCAAATATATTCATGACATTTGGTCTGATGAACTGTTATAATTGACTGCATAAATTTAAACGTGCGAACGTGCGACTCGATTGGCAACTAGGTCTCATCGTTTTACTATTGAAGTACATAAATGCAACCTTATGACCTATTCTAATAATTTCTTTGGTCGCAGTTGTCGTCTTTGGAACTCTTCTCCCATTTATTGCTTCCCTGACACCTCCAAGCGTCAAAAATATAAATGCAACGCCAAACGCCATCTTCAGCTTCTTTTAAACTTGTTCTTTTATTGTCCTTTTCCTCAATCTCTTTAACCCCTTGTTTTTCTCGTCGCATTATTGCTTTAGCAGAGAAATGATTAAATGATTAATACATATATATATATATATATATATATATATATATATATATATATATATTATATATATATATATTACCATATATATATATATATATATATATATATATATATATATATATATATATATATATAAATCCCCTATTCTAATTTACTTTGAAAAAAACTCAATACAAAAGTAGAACAAAATGGATCATTTTATGATAAAAATTCCCTAATTCCGTAATATTTCTATGCATATAAAACTCATATATATATATATATATAAATATATATTATATATTATGATATATATATTATATAATATATATATATATATATATCTATACATATATATATATACATATATTTATTATATATATATATATATATATATATATATATATATATATATATATATATATATATATATATATATATATATATATATATATATATATATGTATATATATATATATATATGTATATGTATATATATATAATATATATATATGTATATATATATATATATATATATATATATATATATATATATATATATATATATATATGTATATATATATATATATATATATATATATATATATATATATATATATATATATATATATATATATATATATATATATATATATATATATATATATATATATATATATATATATATATATATATATATATATAATATATATATATATATAGATAATAAATGTTACTCAAAAGAGAAAAATGTATGTTAAGTTTAAAGAGACGGAATAAGTACGCGACCATTCTTTTTATTTCTTAAACTGGCAATGTAAGGCTGCAAGTGTGGGGCATCTGGTTAGGTTCAAACTCACTACACGTAAGTAAATATCAGTTGGATTGTGCCACTATCACATTTTGCATTTTTGTCTCTGATGTTTTGTGGGTAGTTTAATCGCTGATGAAGCAGTGTGTGCGTCGATGTGAGGGGAAAGACGAACTAGGGACAGAAATGTTAGAGAAAGATGTGATATAAAAAAAAAAGAAAGAAAAGAACGTGAAACATGTTGAACGAACGAATAAGCGAAAGATCTTATGTGTCGTCTGCATTTCAATCAATCCGAATGATG